AAGGAAATCCTTATTATTTATCATTTTATAAAGTTTGAATCAATTGGCAATTAGCTGATGTCTTACCAACCATTCCAATAAATAATAAATAAATAGTGTAAATAAACAATCTAATAAATAAACAGTTTATTGGTTTTGTTGTAAAATCTCAGGAACAATGAAAACATATAAATCAACTTTCATTTGTTGAAGTTTTATTTCACATCTAATCATCACTTTTTAAAACAATAAACATTGGTGAAGCATGAAGGTAGTTAAAATAATAGAAGTATCAATGGAAAAATCATCCTTTTAACACTGATTTTTTCTTGTGGGCACAAAGGTCCAAATTTGCCAAAAAACTTATCAGTGTGTGTCATAATGAAAAACAGTTCAACACAGAATCCAAAAATAAAGTCAGCATTTTAATCAGATCATTGTTAAATATCTGAATGGCTGATTGGATTACAGCGTCTGATGTGAAACATGTTGCAAAAATCTGATCAGTTAATCAGTATTGACTAATTTCAAATCCATTATTATCCTCCAGTGTTATAGCTGCAGGTGTTTTTTTTTTCTTTCTTTTGGATGATTTGAACTTTGAATAGAACAGGTGAGCTTGTGAGGCTCCATGCTTTGAATGTCTGTTGAGTCTCAATCGAAACTCATGTATAGAATCCGTTGCTGAAGAAGCTGGGAAAATGGTTGGCTAATTCTATCACTCCAGAAAGTGACTCCTACCAAGAACTGTTTCCATATCTGGGCTGGAATGGTTCAGTTCTCCTTTCCCAGCCTTGATAGGGTTCCTTATAATTAAAACAGTCTTCTACAACCTCTTTCCCCCTATTGACAAATTGCAAGCCTGTCACTACCTTATCACTATTTAATGTCAGTGCTAGGTATACCTATATTAAATAAGCTAGTTTAGGGTCACACACCTGCAGGGGCCTCATATTTTAAATTATATTTTTATTTTATCATTAGTTTTTATTCTTTAACATTAAATCATCAAAAATTATATATATAATATATATAATTCTAATATTTAAAAAAAAAAATTTATTTTTTTAATTCTCCACCTTTTGAACTTATGAATTTGAATGATATAAATTATTAATAGTTAATTCTAATATTTTATGCAACAATAATTAAATAAACAAGTTTTTAACACACAATTTTGGATCATCACCATGAGAATGCAAACTACTTAACAATCAGAATATCTCCATACCTGAAGATTGCAAGACAGCATGAAACTCTTAGTCATACTATTGATGTTGGATATTATGTATATTCATTAATATATACTTATAGCTCTGTTTCCCAACATTGAGCACTGCATTTATAACACCTGAGGAAGAAATATATTTATATGTATGTGCAAGTATTTGCGCGTATTATGTAGATTTTTTATCCTACCCATTCCTATATATATATATATATATATATATATATATATATATATATATATATAGATAGATAGATAATATTAGTGGTAAATATACACATACATATGCAAAATATATAAATATATATACATAGGTGCATACATGTATATTTTTTGAATAAAAAATTCCGAGAGGATAGAATCCAGGTAGAACTCAATGTCCAGGACAGAGTAAGGATATAATAAAAAAAAGGCTTAAATACTAATATTCCATGGTCATAATTTATTCCATTGGAATCGTAAATACGATCCAATTTCTGTTTTCTTTTGAATTTGTAGGTCTGATGAATTGGATCATATTTACGATTCCAATGGAATAAACTATGACCATGGAATATTAGTGTTTAAGCGTTTTTATTATATATATATATATATATATATATATATATATATATAAAATACATAAAAGGTTAATGGTCAAAGTTGAATCAGACCAGGAAACCGTAGTATTAAAAAGTGCTCAATAAATGTGTGAAAAAATAAAATAAAAGTAAAAATAACATGTAGAGCGTTTAACTTTAAAAATCAGGAGGTTTCAGCCTTATGGTCTCCTCAGGCGACTTTTATCAAATGACTTCTTAAAGCTTTATTTTTTAAAAAAAGAAACTAATGAATGCTATATTATTTAAAAAAAAAATAAATGAATATATATGAATTTAAAATAAATAAATATATATATATATATATATGAAAAAAAAGAAAACTTATCTTAGCCGACTCATTTCATCCTCTGAAGGACCTTATCAAGGCAAATGTAAGGATCTTATTTTGTGACAAGTATTTATATACAAGAGCAAAAATCTTATTGGTTTTCAAAATTTTTGGTATAGGGGTGATCATTAATATTCATCAGGTTAGCAGAAAATCAGGCAAGTTCATGGATGTGAGGTAATACAGTTCAATGCTTAATAAACGAAAGTGAGTAGGAGATATTTTTTTTATGTATGTAGATACATGTAAAGTAGTATAGTTTTTCACTAACCTGATGAATAATTACAATTGTGTCTTAGTAGCTTTATCACTTTGCTTGTGTGGAAAATGATTAAAAAACACTTTTCATGGCAAATGTTCAGATGAGCTCCATTCAGATCTTTACAGCTAGGACATACCATATGACTTCCACAAAGTCGAATCATCCTCATTTCCCCCATGTTGCAAATGTAAGAATGAGGTTGCACTCACATAGCTTTTCTCCAAGAAATTCCACTTTGTGGAAGAGACTCTCGCATGGGTGCTTCAAACTTAACCCCTTAAATTGAAGGTTCAATTGTTTTCCCTCCTTTTTACCATCATAATCACTACTTCTTACCACCTTCTGTTCCATTCAAAACACCTCAATCATCATTACTATTTTGACTATAAACCTCTACCTTGAGTGACTCTCGAGTCTTGTAGTATGTGAAATTTAGTATAAAAAATAATCACAGATATCTGACCCAATCAAGTTCAGCACAAGAGCCGGATTATAGAGCATTCAAGCATTGTGAGCTTATTTTGGCTTCAGTCACTTTCCCCCCACCATAATGTAAATCCAAAGAAGAATCTGCAATTTCATTGTTCCTAACCTGGCATCTCAGCTTCAGTCACTTTCCTAATGCAGTAACATAGTTTCCCTATGCTTTTTTCTATAAATATTCATGGCAATTTTTCATCTATTGTACCTAGGCTTTATGAATTTAAGCACAGTACTAGATTAGCAATAAGGTCTCATCAATTCACAGCTGAATTGGTGAGATGTAACTGTAAGTTCTATGCTAACAGTTTCTTCTCTCACACTTCCGGCTTCTTGCTTTCCAGCCAACGTCTGCCTTCCAAAATTTAAATGCAATGTCAATTGTTATCTTCTTGATTCCTCTCCTTTTATTGTTCTTTGTTTTTTACTCATTTCACTCCAAGGCACAAATGCCACTAGTATGCAGGGGATTACAGGGAATGAAAGAGGAAGAGAAGACTGAAAATAGGTAGTGTTCAGGTGAGGACAAAAGATGAAAAGGAAGGTGTTACAGGGAGTAAAAGTAAAAGTGAAGACTGAGAATAGAGACGATTGAGAAAAGGACAAAAAATAAACATTATTCAAGAAGACAGAAGATAATAATTATATTAAAATTTTTGAAGGTTGTTGTTATCAGGAAAGCAAGTAAACGAAAAGGAGTTCCACAGGTGGGAAGTGCGAGAAAAGAAACTCTTGGAATAGAAGTAGAGGTTGTATTTAGCTATTTCAACAGTAAAAGGGTGTTCTCACTCATTAATAATGTTTCTTTTTTCTAAATCTTTTACACTCAGTAATCCCTTGCATCTTAGTGGCTTTATTGCCTTGCTAGGGGTGAAATGATTAAAAAAAGAAGCCTTTAAGTGCCTATTGTCCCATAAATTGAACATATTTTAAGACATTTTATTTTTAATACTAGGCAAGCATTAATTGTATTTAATTTTATATGTAAGCATATATTTTATTCTAGGCTTATTAAATAATAAAAAAAAATGCTTATCTGCTATCAAAAGAATATGTCTTGTATTACCCAGGATCTGTCTTACACATTTATAAGTCTACCTTTCATCCATGCATTGAATATTGCTGCCACATCTGGTCTGGTGCTTTGCTATGTATTTAGAGGTTCTTGATAAAATAAAATTAATACTCAATGTTATCGGTCCTGACTGTTATTCAAAACTAAAGAGCATAGTCTATCCTGCTCAAAGCTAGTCATCATTTATCTTAAAAAAATGAGTCCTATCAACCTGGCTGAGACTCTAGAAAATAGGTTGAGTTTCTGTTGCTGTAGTCAAAGATGACATCCTGTTTTGACTGGTAAGGTGATTTGGGTTTCCTAGCTTTGGGAAGAGTCAGATTCATGCCTTTCTAATGAGAATTAGTGTGAAAGTGAATGCACCATACTGGCCTGGAGGTTTGTTAATTAGCCAGTCTTCTTCAGTGCAGAAGTAATGAATGATTCAAAGCCAGGAATTAACTTCTTAGTAAACATAGCTCCATAAGTGAAACATATTTTTGAACATTTTTTTAAATACTAGACAAGCATTAATTGTATTTTAACTTGATATGTAAACACGTATAGTATTTTAGTGTTTACTGTGTATATTCACAATCAAATAGTCAAGATTAGTGTTTGGTATCAAAAATTCATGTCTTAGAGTATGTTCCACTAGTGGAACAATAGTCACTAACAGGTTAATTATAGCTCTGTGGTGAACAGTTGACAGACCTTTATAGCATTGATAAAATACTGTTGATAATTACTAAGCTTAAACTAGTCTGACACAAGGCCATAAGTATGTTGCACCAAGTGTATGTCAAACTTACAATAATAATATTGGTTTACAGGCATATCATGTTGAAACATCGATTCACCTAAGTTAATTTTTAAATTAGTGGGGGTGTATAATACATGAAGGCACTTCTAAGATCTTCCAAGATCATGCAATGAGTTGGGCAAATGTTAAGTGGTCAGCTAAGAAAAGGGAAACCATTAATCTAGCAATCCAACAATTTACTTGTAATGAATGTGGCAGAGTAATGTCTCTCCAATGCAAGCCTTGTTATTCGCAAGGCAAGGGCTTACAGCCATATCACGTTGAAACACCAATTCTCATAAGATCACTGAAGTTAAGCAACGTTGAGGCTGATAAGTACCTCAATGGGTGACCAATTGGGAATACCAGGTTCTGTAAGCTTGGCTGTGCAGGTGGTGTAATGGATAATGGCTCAGGATTGTTAACTGGAGAGCTGAGTTCCAATTCCTATTGGGTTTGTTACATTCACTTATGTGCAAATACCCTTGGAAAAGGTATGAACACACCTCTTCTTCCCCAGCTATGGGTTAATTAGTAAGACTTGTATCATTAAAGCATTATTACCTCAAAAAAATATTCTTACAATCTAAAAATATTTTAGGCTTTAAATAACCTGCAAAAAGGTTAATGAATATGAATTAACTTCAAACTGGTTTTGTTTTCTTATGCCATAGGTGGCTTAGCCAAAAAATATCCATAAAAAGGGCACTTCATGATTATCATTGAGAATATTCCAAACAGTTTTTTTGTCATATGCTATAGGTGGCTTACCCCCAAAAAATATCCATAAAAAGAGCACTTCATAATTATTTATGAGAATATTCCAAACTGGTTTGTTGTCTTATGCCATAGGTGGCTTAGCCAAAAAAAATATCCATAAAAAGGTCACTTCATGATTATTATTGAGAATATTCCAAACTGGCTTGTTGTCTTATGCCAAAAAATGTACATAAAAGTCCATTTCTTTATAGTTTTTAAGTTTTGCCAGCTATTACTAATGGGTGAATTACTAATGGTCATAGTGGTTGCCTTATTAATGTAATTTTGTACTGTAGGTGACAAAAAAACAAAACAAAAAAAAACCCAAAACTCTTCAAATATGTCTATATATTTAGCACATTCATTTTTGAATAACATGAAACTACACACGAATGATGCCTGATTGGCTTGCTGATATTTTTCAAAATTTACATAGTTATCTAAAACAATCCTAAACGTGATTTTATTCGTGTTGTTTTATTCTGTTGGCTAAACATATTCAAACCAATTCTGTCAGCTATCTACCATTGATGAAAAAAAAAATTCTAAGTGTTAAATGATAAACAGCAGTTGTAAAAGGATCTGAAATCTATCAGAATGGAATCTACTGTTAGATGGAAATTTTTAAATGGAAATTTACCTGTCTTATTTTTCCCTATTTAGACACTCACTTAAAATATGGGGATGCTAATCATATATGAGGAACCTAGTCTGGCAGATAGTGATTTACTAAGCAAATCTTAGACGTGGCACAAATGTGACCGAAAGTATGAAGCCCCTAGTGAGGATAGAGCTAATTACTCAGTAGTAACTGATATGGTGAGACAAGCTTGCTAAACATTATACCATGCCAAAGTGCTCAAAGCAGTCTGGCATATATCTGTAAGATAAGAATATCCAATGCACCCAATTGTACATATGAGAACAGAGGTTATGGAAATACTCATTTTAGTGTTATGGAAGGGTGTGTTCTGAAGTTTAGGCAAAGAACATGAGTAGAAATGTTCAAATATTTTACATCACCATGTTAAGATTTGATTTTTTGGTATAATAGGCACTGTGACCTGAAATAATAATTGTTTTTTATTATAGACTAAGTACCCCAGATTATGAATAAAAAAAATATGGTTATAAAAGATAATAGGGGATCCAGTTTGCTATGTAAATTCATTGTAAATAGATCCTCCCTATGGATGCAAAAAAAATTATTGCATTTCAGAAAAGATAATAATGGGGGTCCAGTTTGCTATGTAAATTTATTGTAAATTGATCCCCCCATATGGATGAAAAAAAATTATTGAATTTCAGAAAAATAATAATGGCGGTCTTGTTTGCTATATAAATTTATTGTAAATTGATCCCCCTATGGATGCAAAAAAATTATTGCATTTCAGAAAAATAATAATGGGGGTCCAGTTTGCTATGTAAATTTATTATAAATTGATCCCCCCTATGGATGAAAAGAATTATTGAATTTCAGAAAAGATAATGATGAGGGTCCCATTTGCTCTGTAAATTTATAGAAAACTTATGCTTATTTCTGGTTGCATTAATCCATTTATTAATTTTCCCTATTTTTGTTTTGTTTTCAATATAATGAAAACGTATAAAACTATAATGAAATGCTCTCTATTTTATAGAGTGAATTGAATGTGAATTTAGAAGAAAATGAAATATTTTATACCCATCTTCGGAAGATTAAACAGACACTTTAGAAACCAAAGTTTTTCTTCCCGTGTACTTTAATTAATTTCAAAAGGTTTTCTTTAAACCAGCTGAAATTGACAACCATTTGAAAGAGAATTTCAATGCACAGATGTTGAGGTTTTAAACTAGAAGACACTGTAGTGGTCTTTACACACAATTCAGAATCAGTCATCTCTTGTAAACAAAAGATAATTCAAATTTACATCCCTTCAGTGATCCTTTTGGAATAAGAAGAGAGATAGCAGCCTGTTTTTGTTTCTTCTCTTTTATAAGTTTGCCTTGCTAAACATTTTAGTTGGCAAACAAGGAAAAAAAAAATAATGAAGTAAATGTCTTTTTCCAGAACAAGGCATCTCTACTGAAGGGGTTTATTGAAAACGAAAAGAAAATATATATGTTCTAATTGTATTTATACGTGAGTGGTTTCTGTAATAATATGTGTTTTGGGGCTATCTTCCTCTGTTGATTGAAAGTCTGCCAGTCCAAATGGAGAATTTAAGCTAGATGCTGAGGGACCTGAGACAGAACTGTCTTGGCTGTCGAGCTTACCTGCATTCTGTAAAATGTCTGCACTGGAGTTAGCAGGACATTTCCTCTTTACAACATTCGGCTCAAAAATGACACTGATATGTGGACTCTTGTTGGCACTGGGACTTTCTTTAAAATCAGAACTCTCAGTATACTCACCCTCCTCCATCTTGGAGTTGGAATCGATTAATGGGTCAACATTTTTGCATTCTATACTCTCTTTTCCAGAATAGTCCTCGCTTATACAGGTATCAGTTATATTGTCGTCGGGTGTCACATCAGAGACACCAGTTTCACTTGTGATGTCTTCCAAGTCCCTTGTGCTAATTGTAAATTTATGTATCTGTGGTTTCAAAAAGTCAGATGTCACTTCCTCTTGTCCTGAGTCCATGTGACTTTGAACATTGGTTGCTGATGCCAAAGGCATTTCTTCTTCTATTGGGAAGATTACTGTATCCTTTGGGACTTTTGTTAAGTTGCATAGCAACTCAAGTGTCGCCCGGAGATCTTGACGAATGCAGTTAATATCTCTGGAAAGTGAGTTAATATCTGTTTGCATTGATTCAGTATTGTGGATGTTTGGTGGTTCATTTTTCTGAGGTGCTTCTTTAACTTTTCCTGTGGATAAAAAAAATAAATTTCTATATATAAAACTCAGTGTCTGTTACTTTGTAATGCAAAAAACGTTTCATGCTATTTTTTGTTTGGAGACCTTCCCTATTTTTTTCATACACATTTCATATTTTGCAAAACTCCATGAGAAATTGATGTGCCAAATGTTAAATGATAGTTGCCTAGTATTATGAAGACCCCCATCTAGTCCACCAAAGTATGGGACCTTGGCACTGAATCAGTTCCACAAGTGGACCGGAGACCTCTAGAACTTTTTTGCCTAATGAACCCTTTTCACCATATGTAAGAATTTCCCAATTTTCCAAGATTGTCTGACTCAAAAGGTGCATTCCAAATAAAATTCATATATATTTGAAAATCTTCATTCTTTTCCATATTTGTACATCTACATGGATTATTTTTATAGAGGAGTTTTACAAATTTAATAGCAATAGGAAATGTTGATGGATTTTTAATCTTGAAAACATGTCCAGTAATTTGTTTTAATTCATAACTATTAAAAAATAAACTGAAGCATTCATCAATAAGCAGATGGTTCAATAGAATACCAGAGTATCGTAATTCAATAAACAAAATTATGTAAAAAAACAAGAAAAAGTAAAAGATCTGCCTCTACCCCAAAACCCGGTAATTCCCACCCCTCGTTTGAGAACCCCTGCTCTAGAGAAATGTTGAGCCATGATAGCTGTTCACAGGCTCTTGATATTTGTAGGTGTAAAATCTTGAATGCAAACAAACATATCCTATAAATATTTGATTGGGTTGATGTTGGGTGAACCTGGTGGCCACACTATTCAATAGAAGTCTCCAAGATGTTTCTCAAATTAATTCTATGAAAGTTGGGCCCAATGGCATAATGCTGGAATAACCCGTCATTATTGAGACACTGTGTTAATGAATGAATGCACTTGTGACATTACATTTTTAACCTGCATATGAGAAGATAGTAAATGATTTTCATAGTCTTAAATGTTTTGTGATTCTTATGACCAGCAGTAAAGTCTGTGAAGTGAGGGTTTTCATATCAGCCAACCACTTGACCAAACAGGAATAAAACAGTAATGGCTGGCCGCTTGTATTTGAGTATGCCTCTGTTAGAACAGCTGGACAATCCATATTGCAGATGCCTGCTCAGGCACATTTGCATTTGTTCAAAACCTACAGAGCCTACCAGTAGTCTCTACTGCAACTATGCTGTTACAGTTTCTTGGCTAGAGCACATTGTTTGGCATTATCAACAGTCTGAACAAGGCCAGCATGCTCAACCCCTCGGGAATAATGACTTGTGACTTCATGCTAGCTCAAACTCTGACAGCTCAGAAATAGTTCTGCCTAACCAATTTCACTCACAAGGGCAACCCGTGGTATGGTTTTCAGGCAATTACCAAAGGTGGCGCATGCTGAGATCGCCTCTACAGGCTGATAACATCAAGATATCATCTTGACAAATTGACTATGGTAAGATTTGAACCTGGGTCACATGATCGGTAAGTGAACATTCTAAGCCATGTGCCTATGTTTATATAAACAGTCACTGCCACAGGGTTATAATCCCAGGGATCAGGCGGCTTCTTCCATCTAAAATGAGAACAGATACTTCATTTTGATTACAGCTTAATGTGAAGAAAAGCATAATTTGAGTAACATTGGCTGCTTAATCAATGAATGTTGAATGTTTCCTTATAAGAAACGGCTAATATTAACATGATCATTAACATTTTATAATACAAAAAGAATTTAGGAAAATGATGTGCCTTACCCCTCTTCCTCATTTGTATCTTTCGTTTGAGTGTGTCCTGAATTGTTTTCTGTTTTGTGACTTTCTTCACAATTTTCTGAAAATTTACTGGTTGAGTTGAATTCTGTTCATTGTCTTTATTTTCCGCCTGTGAGCTATGAAATCAACAAAGAAGAAAAAGAAAAAAAAATGAGTGAAATAGAAAAAAAAAGGAGACAAAATTTCTTTAAATTGATATCATGTTTTTTTATGGTTTCTTTTTTGGGCTATCCAGACCCCAAAGTTAACTTTTGTTACAAAAGTGTTCACCAACTGAAATAATTCAAATCATGTATCAATTTCTTGTCAGAGTAGACATTCCACTTAAAATCGTACTATAACACATGCAAACACACACATATTTAATGAGTTGATAGGTTTGCTTATCACCTGGTTCACACTCCTCCCCTGTCTTTTGAACAATAGAGATTTATCCCTTGTTTCCTGTTTCTTCTTCTAAAGTCTTCCCATTTTTTTCACTCCGAGTAACCCTTTGCATCTTAGTGGCATTGCTTGGAGTGAAATGATTAAAAACATATATATATATATATATATATATATATATATATATATATATATATATATATATATATATATATAGGATTTGTGTATATGAAATAAATTCCAATAACCAAAAATACTATTCTTAAAAGAGTGCTCAATACAGAGTAGAGTTAATATAATTTATTCAAAAATTATAACATCAACATGTTATAAGATGACTACAAAAATAATCACTTTGTTTCAACATTTCTGGTATCTTACCAAGTGATGGTGTTGAATGTCAACACCATCACTTGATAAGACACCAGAAGTGCTGAAACAAATTGGCTATTTTTGTAGTGATTTTATAACATGTTTATGTTATAATTTTCGAATAAATTATATATATATATATATATATATATATATATATATATATATATATATATATATTTGAATAAAAACAGACCACTTTAAGGTTCCATGTAATAAATTATTTCACCACAGCCCTTTTAAAGGGCTCTGGATCATCAGACTTTACTTCCAAAGGTTGAAATGAAAAATGAAAAGAAATTTACACATTTTTGATGAGCTGTATTAAGCATATGTAAATTAACGAAGTGAGGGGGGAGAGAAGACATGAGTGAGTTAGATGTACCCTTTTCAATTCTTTATACTTAAGTTCACTTGGTGTGGGCCAGACATTGCTTTACTTAACGTATATTATCTCTAGATATAGATGGGTAAGGGGTGAAGAAGAAACCCACATAAAAGGAAAAAGATACAGTAAAATAAATCATGAGAGAAGGTTTCACTCAATTTCTTAGACACTGTTATTTCGCATTACTTTAAAGGGTATATTTGGGGGTTTGTGTGTGTACATGTGTGTATATGTATATGTGTGTGTATGTGTAATGCGTGTATGTATAGATGTGCATGTATAGGTATTTATGTGTGTGTCTATATGTGTATATATATATATATATATATATATATACATATAATTATATATGTGTGTATATGTGTGTATGTGTTTTTCTACAGGTGTATATGTGTATGTATGGGTATATACATATAGTTTTGTGTGTATGTGTGTATGTGCATATATGGATTTATATGTATATAGGGATATGTATGTATGTGGATATAGATAGGTGTTCGGATATGTGTAGAGGTGTGTATGTGTATGGATATATAGAATATTATAAAAGAAGGACCTAATTTTCTGTTAGTAATGTTTTATCCAAATTTCTCCTCTAATATTCTCCAATTGAAAGTGAGTTTAAATAATACGGAGGTAAATTTTAAATTGATAATTTAATTTAAATTGAAATATATTACCATTTAATAATCATTATTGATGATAAAATTATTCAAATTGGAATTAATTAGTTTAATTTATGAACAAAACTTAAATGGATAGATGTCAACTTAATAATCAACAAGAAAAAAGTTTAAGCAAAAAAAAAAGATTACTAGATGTAAAAGGAATTTCTTCTTTCAATGTACTTTCTATGAATTTTTTCTTCGTAGATTGTTTAGACATTTAGATTTATATCAAACTTTAACCCCCAAATATACCCTTTAAAGGAATGCGAAATAACAGCGTCCAAGAAATTGAGTGAAACCTTCTCTCATCAGAATTGTTTTATTGTATCTTCTTCCTTTTATGTCGGCTTTCCTCTTCACCACTTACCCATCCATATCTAAAGATAACATAAGTTAAGTTAAGCGATGTCTGGCCCACACCAAGTGAGCTTAAGAATAAAGAATTGAAATGGTACATCTAACTCACTCATGTCTTCTCTCCCCCATCACTTCCTCACTTCGTTAATTTACATATGCTTAATACGGCCTGTCAAAAATGTGTAAATTTCTTTTCATTTTTCATTTCAACCTTTGGAAGTAAAGTCTGATGATCCGCAGTCGTTTTAAAAGGGCTGTGGTGAAATAATTTATTACATGGAACCTTTAAGTGGTCTGTTTTTATTCAAATTTATTTGCTCTGAATTTACATTGAGCTCTCTGGATATCATCCTCCTTGGGTCTGCCCATACGGATTACCTATATATATATATTTATAAATACATTTCTAATACTAAAATAACACTTGGAGTAATAAAAGCTAATGTTGAATTAAAAATAAAATGCAGTAATATGTATTTTATTTTTAATCCGACATTAGTTTTTATTACTCCAAGCGTTATTTTAGTGGATACCCATATTTGAGTAGATGCTTGTGTTTTTCTAATTATTTCACTCAAAGGAAGGCAATAAAGCCACTAAGACAAAAGGGGTTATTGATTGTGAGAAAATATGAGATAATGAACAATGGAAGAAGAGGTATTAAGGAAACAGAAGATGACAACATTTCATTTAAATATTTGATCAATACAAGTTTGTAACAAAATACAACAAAAACAGAAAATCAAGTGCTTGGTGTTTAGAGAGAAATGGTTATACAAATAAAAGAGGGTTCAATGTAATTAAAAAAATAGAAAATGCAGAGCAATTTTAACTTTTTTTTCTGTTATGATGTTGATTTGGGGTTAGTAGAGACAAACGCCAAATAACACGTAACAATAAAAAGGGTTTTAATAGGTTGGTAAAAAGGTACAGAAATCGCCTAAGTAGTCAATAACTAGCTCAGCTAAGAACTTCTCTGTCTATCTGTCTTCCCCCCATATCAACTGACATGCCACTATTTAAAGTCTTTGTTTGCAGACAAGTTCATCTTCAAGAGGGGTGGTAGGTTTCCGACAAAACATTTTCCTAAAATGTAATTGTAATTCCAACCATTCTGCTAATATGGTTTCTTCTGCAGATCATCAGACTGTAAAAGTTAGGATGTATGTGAGTGTATATATATATATATATATATATATATATATATATATATATATATATATATATTTATTAAATTTATATATATATATATATATATATATATATATATATATATATATATATATATATATCTATCTATCTATCTATTTATATATATATATATATATATATATATATATATATGTATTTATTAAACCATATATATATATATATATATATATATATATATATATACATCTATCTATCTATTTATCTATCTATGTATAGATGTGTTTGTCACCACGAAATGTATCTTTACGCATTAGACATCCGACAACATTCATATTTCTCTTACTTAAACCCCTTCCACTCACCTCTCCTCAAATTCTCTCTGTTAAGGTTTAATCTCCCTCCTTCTCTAGTCTGTTACCCCTCTTTAGCTTTAACATTCCTCCCTCCTCCTCATACTTACACTCTCCCTAAATTCTGTTTTTATTTCCGGAGTTGTTTTTTCTGTTTTCTTTTGAATTTGTAGGTCTGATGAATTGGATCGTATTTACGATTCCAATGGAATAAATTATGACCATGGAATATTAGTGTTTAAGCCTTTATATATATATATATATATATATATATATATATATATATATATATATATATATATATTTTATTTTTTTTAAACAATTGAGGGAAGTGTGCAAAATAATGATGACCCACCTGCCCAAATTCAAGTTATATTTGTTTTTGAAAAGAAAAAAAAAACTTTAGTTAAGTCAAAATTATGAGACATATGATTTACAGGCAACATTAGTCATGTTGAATATTTGTTTTACAAATTTAACTATATTTTATTTAAATTAATTTTGTAAAAAAATAACACTCACTATAGTTTTGCTTTAATAAAACTTAATTTAAAATTATTTACTTTTTTGATATTCGTAACAAACCAAAAAACAATGAAGTTTATTTTTTAAAGATTGAATAAAAATTATTTTCCGTGACATAAATAAATTATTTTTCCGTATCATAGTTTTAGGGCGGGGATGGGATCCAGGCGCCAGCTTGGTCTGGACTTATTCAATATATTTTATTTAAAATGTTTTTTTGTAAAGTAAAACTACTCTCTATCAATCACCATAGAGATCCTTCCCTGCCACCCCCCATTAGTATGTCTGATAGTCAACTTCTTGAGAGCAACTCCCTGCGTCTGCTCGGTCTCACGTTGACTGCTGACCTGAGATGGAACAAATACATTGAGTCAATTGCTTCTTCCACTGCGAGGAAAGTTGGCTTGTGGAATAACACAGTAATTCCACCTACATTTTATGCGCGCGCGAGTTTTCCTCCCTTCCTCTCACATTAAGCTAGACATAGCAGTAAACAGGCTCTTTTGGCTGGAGTGAGGAAGGTTGCTTACTAGCTACTCCTGATAACGTCTAAAATCAGAATTTGAATTTTTTCCCGCGCGTTTCCTGACGTCACCAACGATCAGCGTTTCTAACTCAGTTGCATCCCGATTTTCAAGCTAGAAGGACAACTCGTTTATTCCGTGCCCCTAACCCATACCCGGGCCGGAATATCTTATTCTTAACTAACCAAAACTTCAACTTGTCGACCTCACACTTTTCCAAGACTCATTCTCGTCTTGATGCAACCAGCATGTTGAACCTTTTCTCTGTTTTCAGC